TAGAGAATCTCGAAAATACCTAAGTGCAGATATGATATGTCCAGCTGAGGGTGGGAACATTGACGAAGGCATGTATCCACCAGAGTTATTGCACTCATTAAATTTTTCAAGAATTCCAAGTCATTGCCTTGAACTCAAAAAGGGAGCGCCTATAATGTTACTGAGAAATCTCAATCAATCTCAAGGTCTATGTAATGGCACCCGTCTTATTGTTGAAAAAATATGAGATAAAGTGATTGAGGCACAAGTGATTACAGGTTCAAATATTGGGGAAGGAACCTTCATTCCACGTATCATTTTATCACCATCTATCACATATTCACCTGTCCCGATTAAAAGAAGACAATTTTCCATAAAATTAGCATTTGCAATGACCATAAACAAAAGTCAATGTCAGACTTTAAAAAAGTTGGAGTATACCTTCCTAATCCAATATTCTCCCATGGTCAGTTATATGTTGCTTATCGCGTGTTACCACACCATCAGACTTGAAAATATTGATTGTTAATAAGGTTAACCAACCGTCAAATTACACAAAAAATATTGTATATCGTGATGTCCTTAATGGCATTTGAAGATTGATATAAAAGTCTTTTCAAAATTTCAATGACTATGTTTTTTTATTCTTTAATTATACAATACTTACTACTCTAAATTCTAAATCTTATCCAAAATATTACATTTAGTATACAAAAAATTGGATGATCTAATCTTCTTCTTTTTTTTTTCATTTTCATTTAATAAAAATAATTTAAAAACTTACCCTTACAAAATATGTTTGTACAATATTTTTTGTATAATAATTCATTACTTATTTTTTCTGTTTTATCATAATGTAAACTTAACATTTTTTTGTTTTTTTATTAAAAATTCTTAATATTTTTATTTTCAAATTTCTTGAGATCTATAGACAGGTCGTATAAAAATTATAAATTCATATTTTGCTCATTTGCATCTACATTGTTAATGGGTGATAGAATTATCAGATATCCCTATTTTGCTAATTTACACCCATATGCAAGTAATTGGAGCGTTAAAGCTCAGTTAGCCAGGTTGTTATCTGTGACTAATCTCTTGGGGGGAATATGACATTCAAAATGATTTTTGTTGATGGACAGGTATTCACAACTCTTATCATGAGATAATTGTTAAACATTTTGTTTTATATTATGTTAAAAATGTGTACTTATTACATTTTTTCAAAGGATGATGCCATGAAAGGAACTGTATGCTCTGAGGAATACGATTACTTCAAAGAACATTTAATTGAAGGAAAAATACATTGTTTTAGAGGAGTTCATGTTACATTGGCTGATAAGAAATTCAAGTTGGTACCATATTATTATAAGATGTCTTTTGCTAATGATACAACAATTGTGCACATACTTGATCATGATAATAATATACCATTTCAATGGTATTTCATTAAGAAATTATCAGACATTGGCCAATTTCTTCATCAAAATGTTCAATTAATAGGTATGTTACTTTTACCAAATGATACTTATCTAGATTATATACTTACATAGTTTATTACCAATACAAAAATTTAAACTATCAAAATAATAAACATGCCAATGCTAAAATATGCAGATGTGATTAGCTTGGTTGTTAGTGTAACTGAATGTCAATGTATTGCAAATCGTGATAATGACAATAGAGAAATTCTACTACTTGATACAAGGTATGATACTATAACATATGTCTGTGTCTTTACCAAATTTGAAATACTCTATGAATTATATTATTTTTCCTAATCTCAACTTTTTTTTTAATTGTAAAAACAGTTTCACATTAGTAAGATTAACTCTATGGGATGTGTTTACAACAACTAATGGCATGCAACTATATCATACTCTAGAGAATGATAATATTTTGTTTGCCACTAGATTAACAGTTAAAGATTATCATGGTAAGATTACTTTTCATTCACTTTTATAATATCTACATACATATACAAATATTGATATTAATAAATTATCTTTTCTCAACTTCTAGGTTCATGTCTCGCTACATGAAAATACAGCAAGTTATATATTAATCATTTATTCCGTTATACGAATCATATTCGAGTGTGGTATGTTATGACTGTATAATATTAACCAATTATATATGACAATATAATTCTCACAATTATATATATATATATATATATATATATTGTAACACCCCATTACTTGCTGGCCCAAATAACTTGTGGGTCGACCAACAATACCCAAAACCTTAAATCCAAGTTATTTAGTAGTAAGGTAGTGGTGCTTTATATGCCCAAGATCACCCATGCAAACTTCCGATGTGGGACAGGGTGTTACAAACTCCCCCACTTATAAATCCTCGCGTCCTTGCAAGGGTCTATAATCAATCAGAATACCACGACAAGCTCGTGACCAGCCTAGAATAAGTGGCCCACATGGTTGTGTGCATGAATCGGCTCTGATACCATTTGTAACTCCCCACTACTTGCTGGCCCAAATAACTTGTGGGTCGACCAACAATATCCAAAAGCTTAAGTCCAAGTTACTTAGTAGCAAGGTAGTGGTGCTTTATATGCCAAAGATCACCCATGCAAACTTCCGATGTAGGACAGGGTGTTACATATATTGACATGTTTATCTAGGCTTGCTATGAATCCTATATTACAAAAGTTGGTATCTTGGAATTAAAAAAATTGATTCTTAATTTCACAGTCATTGGTAATATCAAATGCAAAAAAAATTCAAATACATGATTTTGCACTCATGCCAAAGGTAAGAATTGTTATCATCCTAATTAATGAAAGTTAAACGATATGTATATGAATTTGTTTATAGAGAGATTAATTTATGTGTTTTCAAATATTTTGTAGGTTTCATATTTTCGAATATTTGGGTACATCGAACAAATTGATGTTGACAACTTTTGGATTGATTTATGCAAAAGCTGTTATCAAAAAGTTGAATATCATTAGGGTCACACTGTTTATCGTCACTGCCCACATGATGATATTGATATTATAGCGAGGTAATTTTCTTTCGGTAAATAATTGCTATGTATAATAATAATTTAAACTTAACGAGTGCTTTAATTTTTTATTCGGTACAATATTTCCTTTTAACAAGTGTTTTTTTTTTTTTTCCTAGATTAGATACAATGTTAACATTGTGGTCAAAGGCAGTACAGGTTCAATAAATCTCATTGTTCAAGATAAACAGGCAGAGTTTATTTTGCAATGTCAACCAACATATTTGAAGAATATGAGATCAAAGGTAGAAAATTATAAAATTTATTATAAATAACTTATTATTACATTTTCAAACACAAAGTTATAATTTCAAAATTTTATAAGATAATGACGTTAGAATGATTAAAGACTATATTGCGTCATGCCAAGACCGTGCCTATGCATTTATCATACCTATACCAACAATGTCACGTCAACTAGATTGTGCACCATGTGTGACCTTTGTTTTAAATATAGATTGGTCTGAAAAATGTCTATCCTTTTCAGAAGGTAAAAACATATAATATGTAAGTATAACATTTTATAAATACATAATATATGTGTTGTTCATTAATTATAACACTAATTACCAGGTATGTTACTTTTACCAAATGATACTTATCTAGATTATATACTTACATAGTTTATTACCAATACAAAAATTTAAACTATCAAAATAATAAACATGCCAATGCTAAAATATGCAGATGTGATTAGCTTGGTTGTTAGTGTAACTGAATGTCAATGTATTGCAAATCGTGATAATTACAATAGAGAGATTCTACTATTTGATACAAGGTATGATACTATAACATATTTCTGTGTCTTTACCAAATTTGAAATACTCTACGAATTATATTATTTTTTCTAATCTCAACTTTTTTTTTTTTAATTGTAAAAACAGTTTCACATTGGCAAGACTAACTCTATGGGATGTGTTTGCAACAACTGATGGCATGCAACTATATCATACTCTAGAGAATGATAATATTTTGTTTGCCACTGGATTAACAGTTAAAGATTATCATGGTAGGATTACTTTTTATTCACTTTTATAATATCTACATGCATATACAAATATTGATATTAATAAATTATCTTTTCTCAACTTCTAGGTTCATGTCTCGCTACATGAAAATACAGCAAGTTATATATTAATCATTTATTCCGTTATACGAATCATATTCGAGTGTGGTATGTTATGACTGTATAATATTAACCAATTATATATGACAATAAAAAAAATTAAAAATAAAAATGAAAGGTGTTTAATTAGAACATGAAAATGTAACTCTCGATATATAATCTACAATTTTAAGAAAATAAAAAAATATATAAAAAACAATATAAATTTTTTCATATTGAATTTGTATTGTCATCCTATTTTTACTTAAAACTGTATTTACATTTCATATGACATAGACGGTCTGTTTTTCTTAACAACAAAAAAACACCCTCATTGAAGCCGAACGTGAGTGTTCAAGCCACCCCCTTCCATGATTCATTGTCAAACATGTCAATGGGGTTGAAGAAGTAAAGTAAGGTAATCAAGGGAAATGAGAAATAGGGGCATTAAATGATTAGTTAACTAATTAGAAAAACAAAGGACAAATTACAAACATCCTCCTCGAGTTTTAATAAAAATACAGATTCCTCTCTGAAGTTTGAGAAATTACATCCCGCCCCCTGAGGTTTATATTTTCATAACAAATTGTCCCTTAAGATTTTTATTTTCATACAGATTCCTTCCTAATTTCCTCTAATTTGTTATGAAAATTTGACCCTCAAGAAACAATTTGTAATTTCTCAAACCTCAGGAGGGAATCTGTTTGTAATTTGCCCAAAAACAAATAAGTAAAATAATTTGGTTAAATTTTTACTTTAAAAAGGTAAATTGAACATCTAATGAAATGTGTAACATAAGATCACTAAAAATATGTTACTTTAATAAATGTTGGGGGTATGTACAGATCAATTCAGGTCGATTCGGACGAAAATATCAACTGAAATGTCCGGGAGATTAGTGTAACGATAATAATTTATATTAATGTTTAACTCAACAAGGGATGTATCTTATGCTTTATTGTAATCAAGATACATTATAATCTCAATAACAATAGATGTCCCTATTCGATCTTAACCCTCCAAACTATTTTAATGAAATTTTTGCATCACCAAAAAAAAGTTGTCCTTTTAAAAATGACAACAAAAACAATAGGCCCATTAGATGAAACCCACAACCAAAAAATGCTACTTGTAAAATAACACTCATTCACGACCCACCACTTAATTGGGCCTCCACGTCCTTATGGGCCGTGGGGCCTTCCTCAAAGTCCTTGATCAAATCAGGATCAACATTCTCCTCAGGCTCCCACGTGGCCTCCCCTTTATCCGTCCATTTCACCAGATACTCTCTCCTCCCTCCATCCCCTTCCCTCCTTCCCACCAAACACTCCGCCACAGCATATTCCAGCCCTTCCTCAAAGTTCCTCACCAAATCCTCTCCGATCAACCCCGCTTTGACCCACTCGTTATCTGCACCGTCCTTCCACTTCACCAAGTATTCAACTTGATTACCTTTCCCTCTCTTCTCCATTATCTCCTGCACCTCCGCGTACTCGAATATTGCCTCCTCTAAATCCTTAATTACATTCTCAAGCCCCAATCTTCTCGCAAATTGCATTGGGTTCCCCTTCGGAGTCGCTTTCAGTACTTCTCGCGCCAAATCCAACGGCGTACGTCCTCTCTCATCCTCCGCCTCGGGATCCGCACCCAGTTCCACCAACAGCTTCGCTACACCGGGTCTGACGTACCCAGCCGCCATGTGAAGCGCCGTCAAGCCGCCGCGGTTATCCCGGTGGTTAACATTTGCGCCGGCTTCGGCTAATACCCGGACGCACGGGTCTGACCCTAAGCCGGCGACGAAGAGGAGAGCCGTCCGGCCGTCCTGATCAACGGCATCGATGTCTCTTCCGTCGTCGGAGCTGATGAGGTGTTTGAGAGCCGAGTCGTCGGCTTTCTTGGCGGCGTTCCACCAGGGGGTTTCGTACTCCGCGACTACATCAGAGGCGATGTAGTTTGATGGGACCCAGGTAGGGGCATGATCGTCTTTCCACTCGATTAGGTACTCCATGCCCTTGCCGCCTTCAAGTGCTCTGCTTCCGATGATCTTGTTGACTTCGCCGTAGGATTCATCTTCGTCGAACCTTTCGTATGTGAGATCTGGTTCTTGGAATTGTGGTGTTTGTTGAGCGGAGACTCGGAGGGTGAAGGGGTGGGGGTGGGGGTGGTGCTGGGTTATATCCAAGTGGTAGTGGATGTGCTCAACCGTCTAGAGGTAGCACCGGGGCAACTAATGCCCAATGCATGAAAGATCCTGCTGACCTATGGAAAGAGGGGCGGCGGCGGGGCGGAGACTGGGGGAGATTTTGAGGCGGGAGAGAGAAGGGTTAACGAAGAGAGCGTCCATTTGAGAAGTGGGTACAGGAGGGATTGATGGTGTGTAGTGGGTGCAATTGGATTTGGAGGGATTGGGTTTGATGGTTGGTCATGGTTGTGTCCGTATGTGTGTAATCCAAAAGAAAGGTTGTTTGGGATAAGGAACATCATCCATCTATGATTCATCCTTGTGTGTTGTCACTTTTCCATGGGTTGGTTTTGCCTCACCCACAAAAATATTTTCCATAATTACAGGTATTTGAAACAATGTAAGAAGTGGTTTAAGGTGATCTAGATAAGTATATTTTTTAATTTTTTATAAAATATAAATTGTGTATGAATTGAATTTGAAATGTAGTAGAAAGATGATGTGATTTAAATAAAATAGTAATTATTGATACAGTTTATCCCAGTGAATGGAGCGAACTAGTCCAAGCTCCTCAAGCCCAAGCCTAAATGATCGTGCCCACCGGATAACCTGCAAACAAGTTCAACGGGAAACGGGATAGTCTCCCAGTGAACCCTCCGACGAGCAAGTTAAGAAGAGAAGTAGAGTGTAGAGGGAGAGATTAGAGATAGAAAGCTTAACCTTTTTCTTGTCTTCAACGTTCGTTTATATCCTTTGGCAATTATTTTGCTGTCCTTTCCGACCTGCTCTCCTCGCCGAAAGCCTATGCTGTAGCTTACCTTGCTCAGCGTAAGGGGGTCCCGTTCCGGCGGAGAGGTGTTGTCGTAATAAATGCTGTGATGGGCTGCATTAATGGTGATGTGCAGTGGCAATAACTTTGCAGATCTTTGTCTGCTGATATGGCTCGTCCTTCTCTTGCCGTGTGTCTGAATGTCATTGGCTCTTTATGCCATGTTGGACTCCAGCTGTCCTGGACCTCACCAGCTGGGTTATGCACTAGGCTCCAAGTGATGGGCTTGGATTGTCCATAGGTGATTCGTGGCCTTTATGGACTTATACATGTCAGTAGTCCCCCATTCCCGAGTGCAGCTTTAGTCTAACGAAGGGAATATTAATGACGTAGATGAGTGTGTTAGGGATTGGCAAGATGGAGGTCGACCGGAAGGGGTGATCGAGGGGGGTGAACCGACCGGGAGGTGGTCCAACTGCGCAGGGCGACCGAGTGGAAGGGCCGATCATGGAGAGGGCCGACCGCGAGGTTGGTCGAGCGGGACGGTCGACACCAAGGAGGGCCGACCGCGAAGGGGCGAGGGGGCCGACCGTAGTGTTGGCCGAGCGGGAGGGCTGACCACGAGGAGGGCCGACCGCGGTGTTGGCCGAGTGATAGGGCTGATCACGAGGAGGGCCAATCGGATTGTTGGCCGAACGGGAGGGCTGACCGCGAGGAGGGCGGACCGCGGTGTTCGGCCAAGCGGGAGGGCTGAACACGAGGAGGGCGGACCGCGGCGTTCGGCCGAGCGGGAGGGCTGACCGCGAGGAGGGCCGACCGCGGTGTTGGCTGAGTGGTATGGTCGGTAGCAGGGAGGGCCGACCGTGAAGGGTGAGGTGAAGGGGCGTGGGGCTCGAGACGCGGCGTGTCACGTGGTGAGTTGAAGGGGAAAAGACAGGGTAAGAGGAGGAGACAGTGGATCGTGGCCGTACACGTGGCAACATCCCGCCGGGGGGGAAGATTAGGCGTTAGATCAGAAGTGAAACGATAGGTCATTATAGGTGTTGAAAAGATAGTTTTGGCAGATGATTTGAAAAGTTTTCAAACTGGCAAAAATTAATTGGGATCCTTGGA